CTCTTTTCGACTACGGTAAACTGAACTCTAAGCTAATCCAGTTCTCTGCCTAAAGGTTCACTTGAACCTACCAAGCCCAGCACTTGCCCGCTTGACGGTCGGAGCGCTCTTTTATGAAGGAGAAGCGCGTATATCTTTTTATCTATGCTTGGCTGATGGAATAGATTATTTCAATAATAAAAGCTGGCGATGACTTGTCAACTCAATCGAGATCGATCGCTTTCAAGTTCAAGATGTTTTCAACGAAATAGAATTGGAAAGAAGAAAAAAGTGCCTTTTCGCTAGTAAGATCCATACAAAAACAAGTGTGTCTCACTGTCACGGGAATAGACAGAGAGCGATTGGAAGCCTTATGCTCCGCCCGCGGTGCTAAACTCTAAACTAAAGCTCCGCGAGAATAGAGTTTAGTTTTTTCTATGGTCCGAAGAACGCTCAGAATCCGGATGAGTTGACTCAGGCACAGATCCATTTTCCCTCTGCCTCGGCGTCACTCCAATAGCCGATGTCATCATTAGGGCAAACGATTTCTCTTTATTGCCTATCTCTCTAGAAAGGAGTAGTAAAAGAAGGTTCGGTTTTTCATTGGGTATGATATTGAGTGCCGATCCGGGATACTCCGAAGGGCTACTAGGTCAGTCCATTGAGGGAGGCAGAAAAGGCCAACTATTCGCCATCGGGAAGTAGATCGGTCTTTGGCTTTTACGGCCTATACACCAATGGTACTTGATCTGTTCTTAGTTGTCTGCAAGGGTAGTTGAGTTCTCCCCTGTTGAGGTTGGTTAAAGAGCGTGCAAGAGTTTTTCCTCTTATTGGTCAATTAGTTCCGAACGATGCCTGTGCCTGCATAGTAGACCTTAGGATAGGTCTGCCAGATGAGGTTCCGGTTCCAGGCTGTTTTGGACTTTCCATCTGGGCTTAGAGAACAAACGATCCTGTCTTCAACAGGGAGTTCATACAGGGCAATCTCTTGCATTAGACACTGTCTAGCCATTCTGCGGCTAGGAGGAAAGTCCCAATGCCCATTATAAAATCGCTTACTAGAGCATGGTCCAGGAGACCTCTTTCTTTCCTTTATAACAGTGCCCTCGTACCTGTAGCTGATCGGGCCATTTCTAAGCCACGGACAATGCCACAGCTTTTTGTGCTTTCGCCATTAAAAATCTGACACTTTCTAGCATTAGCCACATTTTCCTTTACCGACACTCCTCCAAGACTAAGAGCAGTCGGATAGAAGATTAGACACCCAAATAGAATGTCTCCTGAGATATCTAAAATTAACCCATTGAGTCCAAATAGACCCATTATCATTAACGGATCTCCAGAAAATGCAAATGGAAGTCCTATTCCAGCCCAGCCCTCAATAGTTATTAAACCCAATCCACCTTTATCCTTCGGTCTACACTACATTGGACCAGCTGATCGTATGGATCTTATAGGTGGGTTCGGGGTCTGACCCAAAGAAAGATCGAATGCTCAATGAAATGGATTTCAAGATCTTCTCCGGAAGCCTGAAAGCGGACGACCAATAGATGTGAAGGCTTACAAGCACTGAGGAGAATGAGCCTCAAGCCATTTCTGTCATTCTCACGAGCTCGATTTTGCTGATCTTGTTGAGTTTACAAACTCAAAAGGTGAGCAGTGGTGCCAAGGCACATTATGGGCTCCTAGGATCAGATATCCTTTCGATGAGAATAAGAAAATATTCTCAGGAAGAGACCTTTCAGTTCCTCCGTCATGGGGACGACTCAGTTGTTCGTTTCCCGGTGCGGGGAAGAGGAGGATATTTGCCATCTGCAACTACGTTAATCAACGTCTCCTGTATCCACTTCATCAGTGGTTCATGAAGGCTTTGAGTATGTTACCAACTGATGGTACCTACTCTCAGCTTTCACCTCTTAAGAGATTAAGAGGGGAGCGTGAATCTTTCTCATTCGATCTGTCAGCGGAAACAGACAGGTGGCCGCTGGTGATCTTATTTGAAACTGTTCAAGCGTTGTTTGACCGTAGTTTTGCATCGGCAGCGGTTAATTCTTGTCTAGCCACTTAGACTTTTATTGTTGGCTTTGTAAAACGTAGACCAATTTCTCAGGTCTCTTTTACAGCAGGACAGCCGCTTGGCAGCTACTCTTCTTGGCCACTCTTTGCCTTCTCTCATCATATGATGATTTGGTTGGCAGCAGAGAAGCTGATAGACTTGAAGAAGAAATCGCTAATGTCAGGGCGGATATCGCCAACGTTAGCACAGAGCTTAAGCAAGTCAATTACATCGATCCTCGAACAGCGTTTAATTAATAGATCTGAGCGGGATTTCAGACTGATTTTTTGAGCTTTGATTGGTCTTGCTGGGATGATGGCAAAGGGCTTGAATCTATAATAGAAATGGTGCAGCTACGTTAGCAAATGGGGTTGACTCACTAGGTCGCTAATAACTACAACTAGAAATCTCTATTACATAGATCCTCGGATGAACTAATGTGAATGAGAAGATGGAACAACGGTGCGAAGGGGTGGAATGGAATGTTTGTTAAAAGCAATGTAAGCCTTGTCACCAGCCATTCCGATAGTAGCGTGAGTGGGAGAGAAGAACT